TCAAGGTTGGGGAACCGTGTTCTAGTATGGGCCTTGCCTACAGCGGTGTCCCCCAAGATTCGGTACTAGGTCCGTTATTGTTTCTTGTGTTTATAAACGACTTGGCTCCTCTTGAGCATCCCTACTATATCTTCGCAGATGACTTAAAGCTAGTCAGTGGGGACAATCGAGCAACATTGACTAAGGTTATCATCACTGTGATGAATTAGTCTAGCCAATGGGATTTACCTCTGGATGCCAATATATGGCAACTATTGATTAATAGTGGTAGCGGAATTGCAGTATAGTCTCCTGCAGGATCATTGCAGTGTACTGATGAAGCCAGTTCCTTTGGTGTCATCATAGTAAACAGTCTTAAGCCTTCGGTACGATGTCGCCATGCCGTCAATAAAGCGTGACAAGAGTTGTTTCGCCTCAGGTGGGCGCTAAGTGACACTAAAGCAGAAGTATGTTTGCTGTTCTATGAAACCGTGGTTAGGCCACATCTGGAGTAGTGTTCAGGCCTGGGCACCGTATCTCCGTAGTGACGCTATGTGTATAGAAAAGATTCCGAAACTTGCGACTAGGATGATCGAAGGTCAACGAGGGAAGTCGTACAAAGATAGGTTAAGTAGCTTAGAATATTTTTCTTTGGAACGGCACAGATTGCGATGGGATTTGATAGAGACGTTGAAGATCATTAAGGGCCTCAGTAGTATTGACGACACCCATCTGTTCGACTTAGCTACGTCGGACCACCTGCATTGGCATCGCCCGAGGCTCTAACAACATAGGGCTCATTTGAACATCAGGGCGAAATTTTTTCTAAACTGAGTAGTTAACATCTGGAATGAACTTTCTTCCGGTTTACTGAAATGTGAGTGTATAAGCCTACAAAAAGGGCTTAGCTAAGTGTTGGTCTGACCTTTTTCCAAAGATATTGTAATTATACTTTAATATGTATTGTATTCTGTTGCTGACACATGCAAGTGCAAAGATTGTTCTTGTTCTTGCTTCATACTTTTGCAGTAGCAAGAAGAGGCAATCCATCGTCGAAGTGCCGGGTGCTGTTTTTCACTTACCGGCACAAGAAACCGGACATTCGTTAAGCGAAAGCCTCCGTCGTCCTTAGTATTTGACCTGACCCGACTTAACTCACAATGTTTGCATTGCTTTGAATGTGGTGACCAAGGGTATCCAATACATTGCCTGCAATTTCTTAGACGGCCTTACTGTTTCCTCTTTTTTATTGCCTTCCCGCTTTGTTTGCACCCACCACCCGTGCTTGTTTTTACGATCCATTAAGTTCATGCTTGGCCTCATCGGCAGCCATAATATCGGTATCTAGCTCGTCTTACATCTTACTAGGTGGTTGTAATAACTTCATCCAGCCACGTGTGACGTATTTATTTTCACTGCATCCCCAGGTCTATCATGACCTATTTATGTATTGGCGACGGAAGCCCTCGGATGAACGCATACAACGTCGTTAACGCTTGCTAAAAAATTTTCCGGTTGTTGCAAGTTTTAACTCTTTTTTGCACTCCGCTTTACTGCTTTAAACGTATTATAATTCTACGAATGATTCCCCACTTTACCATCTCTGTGTCCTTTGTATACTTGCCATAGCCACTTTGGAACACATTGCTCTCTACACCGAGGCTGTTATGCAACTTTTGCTAGGGTTGGATCACAATTACTCACCTGAACCTTGTAGGCTTCCTCCCCTGTTCCTACTGACAAGGGCTACAACCAGTGTCGTGACTACTGTCAGTCATGACTACCTGGTCACACCCGTCATCCAATTCTTCCATCTGTCTCTGAAAAACTGTTCATCTGCTTGTCCACTGGAGAACAGGTATCATGGGGTAAAGCACGAAATTGATACCCCCAGCATCCAGTAAATTCATCTTGTCTGCCTAACATCGATAATCTGCAGGATCATATAAAAGCTTATCAAACACGCCCTCCAGATCCGCTATACTGACTTGAACACAACCTCTACACAATATGATCTTCAGAAGTGATGTTCTTGCTCCACTATTATACTAGCTATGAGAGAAAAATGGACAATTAATCTGTGCCGGCCAACACTTAGATGTTTTCACTGACTTTCGATGAGCTATCACATCAATGGTTACTCTGCAGGCCTCAAAAAATTAGTGTCAACGGAAACCTTTATTCCTGGATAGCGGACTTCTTAGAAGGAAGTACTATGCAAGTGGGAGTGAAGTAGCCACATTCTCAGCAAGTGCGCATAGCTAGGGGAGTTCCGCAAGACTCTGTCTTTAGGCCTGAACTTTTCTAGCTCTTCAAACCATATATCTGGTCTATGCTGATGACCTTAAGCTATGATGTGATGCAACTGCTAAACCACAGGATTCGCTAGATCTACTTCATCGCTGGTCCTTCACATGTGGCTTACCCATACATTATGAAAAATGTTGCATCCTCCCTATTGGTGCGTCCGAACCGCTCGGTATCTAGGATATTTGCGGATTTCTTCTCAAAAACGCTGCTCGAGAGAAAGATTTAAGTGTAAAAATAGCCTCTAACCTAAAAACTACCTAGGATACGCTGAGGAGAGTGGCAGTTGCCAACAGGGTGTGCTGCACCACATGAAGAACATTCTCCCGAATGACTGCGGATATCTTCAGCGTCCCCTTCATCTACGGCCGATACTCGAGTATGGCTTACCAGCTGCTTTTTCACTCTCAAAGCTGCAATGTGCCCCATTTGTAAAGCTTCAGATACGTGGCTCGAAGTATGTCTTTGACTTCGGAATCTCTCCTACTCCTTTCATTTCCAGCAACTGAACCTCCTCTCTGGACTACCGTCGCCACCGCATAGACTTCCACTTCACCAGGCGCATACTAAAGAGTGAACTTGGGAGCACAATATATTTTCTCCAGCTCAATAAAGGCGACCTGACACGAGGTCACAACTTGAAGCTTATTAAACTGAGAAGGCTCCATGTTCACATCGCATCGGTGCTCCTACAGCAACTTCATCAAGTTCAGCTGGTTTCGCAGAGGGCTGACCAGCAACAGACAGTCTCCACGTTTATCGAAGGGCTGCTCACAGTTTCCATTCTAGCAGTGGAGCTGTCTAGCGGCATGATTTTCCCGCTCGATTGAGGTATCCTGGTAAAACTTTCCCAAAATATCTAGTTTTACCATGTACCCAGGGAATTTAAGATGTCTGTCTGTGCTCGCCTGCATGCGGTTGTTAGGATATCTCGGCACACATTCACGCCATCCTCGACTACGGATGGCGCTCGTTTTTCCATGTGTTGCTGCCATAGCTCGCCTGGTGTATCGGTGTTACAATCTTCGCTTAGACACCAGTACATAGGTTATCTAAATAAGCTATTTTAGCGCTTACCATTGGTAGTTCTTAGTTGCCAGCAAAGGTGTGGTGATTGAATGTCTTTCGCTTTCCTCTTTTTAGGTAACATTCATCTTCCTCATTACAAACACATGGGCAGCAATTGGTTGATCAGAGTATGCTTCTTGTTTTGAGTTCACAAAGATTTCAAATCGCGCTCTTATTGTGACTCAGGATTGTCCCATCCTTCCGGTCCCAATTGAACTTGAGTTCTACCAGTTTAACTTGCGAAGGTGCTACGCAAATCGCGTCCTGATTGTAACTGGACTGCAGATGCTACACTGTGCCAAAAATGCCGTGTTAGGCCCCCGATTATCATGTTAATAATGCTACTCATATACGCAGATCGGCGGCACCAGATGTGGATTAAAACTGGCACACATCGTTTGCCTCTAACCAGATATGGAGATTTATTACCAGTCACGGGACAAGAACCAAACTGCAACCAGGTACATCGGGTTTCCGAACGATGGAGTTGGTACGCATTGATGTCACGGGCCTCCTACAGGAGTGCCTTAGAGGAAACCACTACGTTCTGGTGTTTGCCGACTACTTCGTCAATTGATGCGAGGCACTTCATTAGCATAATACGGCTGCACAGACAGTAGCGCAGTCTCTCTTTGGCGCTTGGCGTCATTTTACCAGTTGCTTTCCGATTATGGAGCCAGCTTCCAACGTATCCTGATGAGTGGGTTGTGCCATATTTTCGGCCTCAGGAGGACCTGAATGTTGCATACCATTGGTCAAACTGAGCGCACTAGAAACATCACAGGAGTCATTCTCCACCAGTGAAACACTCAGAAAGCGATGTACGTCTCTACCTTGATGTTTGCTGGCTTGTAGAGCATCTGTGCATTCCGCGACTAACAAAACACTGCACCTCGTGATAACAGGTTACGGGTTGCACCTACCCAGGGATGCTGCTGCCGACTTCTCACCATGAGCCCATGATCACGTCTGCTTATATGCTCTGAATGCAGTCCAGTCTGCTGCGTGCGCACCAGTTGACACAAGCACCTTTGCAAACCTCACAGCGCCGATAGAATGCATTTAAGACCGCAAGACCGTTCTCAATCCATTCGAATTCGGCGTCACAGTTTGGCCCAAGGTACTGGTACTACCACGGTTGGAAGATGCCGTATGTCAATGAGGACGTACTACCTTCCTTGTAAAATTGCGAAGTATGGTGCATCATGCTCATCGATTGTTGTGCACCTCAACGAGTTGAAGCCGGCCAGAGGTGTCAGTGGCGCCTAGGATAGCGCCTGTTAGGAGAGGAGATATTGTGACAGATCAATAAATGTTCGCTTGGTGCCCTATAATGAAAACGTATTAGATCCTCCGTTTGTCAGGCTAGTGGTGCTACCCAACACCTAAACCAACCAAGACACCAGATTTGAACGAGCACAAGTATATCATTGTCCATCTCTTTACTTCTCTGTCATATCTCCGGCATTCTGACCTTGATGCTCTCTCATTGTTGTCTCACTGTCTGCTTGCTTGCTAGATAGCGAGGTTTGCATTTTCAAACCAACCCATATTGCTTACTATGTGATTGTGATAACGGCATCCATCCACTTACGAAGTATTTGTTTTACATTCCAGCTCTACACCTCTATTACGTTCTTCTTTAGGCATCGGACACAGAACTCGTCTTCCCAGACCGGACGTATACTGCACTGATGTTCACTTGCCCTCTCCTCTCTGTTTCTCAACTTTCGCCCGAAGCTTCAAATTGCGTAACTGATCCTAACCGGAAATTTGATGAACACTATGATATTGTTTCTGAAATCGGGAGGTTTGTACCATGTTTCTTCTGATTTGCTGTAAGGGGGCGCTTTGCTAAAGTTTGTGAAGTCCGCCATAAACAAACCAGTAGCAGTTTCGCAGCTAAGATCATCAGGAGATGGCGAAATGGAAAGGACACCCTCGATACGTTTTTGCAAGAGCTGCGTGTACTTGATCTTGGGAAGTCCTCACCACATATCATTGACTTCCATGATGCTTATTTGCAATGGGCAGACATGGTTATCGTCTTGGAGCAGTATGTGTGATTGGCTTTAACTTGTTTTATTTCAGTTTTAGCGCTGCTGGTGGTGATCTCTACCAGTTAGTTCATTTTGAGTCTATCCATCTTCCTGTCGATTACGTCAACTTGATTATCCGCCAGCTTTTGAATGCCATCACATTCCTGCATAATCGTAAGATTGTTCACTTAGACGTTAAGGTGAGTCTACGCCGATGCTGGTTTTTTCTCCCTTCTAGCCGGCAATCATCAATCTTTGATACTGTCACCACTCTTTCTCGGCCTTTTTTATTCTAAGTAATTACCTTATCTGCATCACCCGACTTTGTCCACAATGAAAACGTATTTTTCAGGCAAGTGTATGGGTATTTCGCGACAGCTACTGGTAAATGTGAGGAGAGGCAGCCTTATATGAGGAATCTCCATGGATTTTAGTCCGAGTGTCCATCGAGTGGGCGTACAAGGTTTCATCATGACTTCTTCGTTCTCATCGAACACAACTCGGTTTATGTTGACTAACTAGTCGTGTCAGTGCGTAAGTCAATCCAACCTGCTCGCCATTGAGTACCATCTTATAGCCCCTCCCTCTTTCCACCGCTCCTTGGAAGCGCTCAATCGACGGTTTGGCGAAGCCCAATGGCTTTTTGGAAAACGTCCAGTGTTTAGGTATACAGTTTCCCCCAGATAACCGCGCGACCGACAGGCAGTACTGATAACATTACCTTGCTTAGTTACGGACCCCATCGTATGCAACTCATCATAAACCACCCTTTGATTGAAGCAGCTATGTGGAACATGACCTTTGCCCCTTTCGAAATGCAAATTTCTGCTCCGGGACTGGCATCCACTTGCCCAAGTGCATTCATTTGAAGTAACCGTACTTGAGTATGTCTTTCTGCTGACCGCACCACTTAATGTGAGCTTTCGCATTATCAATACTCGATCAGAATTCACCATTCGAAGGCATCTGTAGCGCGGTTACGACGTTTCCCTTTCGGTAAGGGACAACGTCTACATTGTCTATGTTCTCGCGTGCTGTTGTGCGGAATTGAATCCTGCTATATACCGCAAGGCGGATAAGCGAAAACATGTTGCCATTGATGCCTCCCTTCTTTTTTCCCATGTTTCTCTTATTACGTTTCCCATCACCATTACTAACCTACCTTCTATAATTCCCGGTTTAGTTGATAGCAGCTGCAATACCGCTGGACTTCTACCATCTGAAGCTATTATCCCGCATCACCCACTGGACTTCCATCAGTAACAACCCTTATAAAGGCCACATTGTCCCGTTTTCTTGGCGGTGTTCCATGTCCACACCAAGACAAGCAGATCAAGTGGCTGCACTCACACGCACGTTAGATACCTTGCACACTTACGTGTGTTGCGTGTCCGAATTTAGGGTCAATGACCCTCACGTAGTTGTTAACTTCACCCTGATTGTTCTCTCGGCATTGGTTGCACGCATCCGGATATGCTGAGTTGGGCATCATTCTCTACTCCATTACTTTCTCGTTGGTTGCTTGGATTACCTTGAGCCGCCATTTGCCTGCAGCCCGTTTGACGACATCAACTAAGGTTGACACATGAGGTAGCACTAACACTTTCTTTTTGCTTTCTGCTTATGCTCCCACCGACTACAGTTCTGACTCTGACAAGAACGCCTGTCATAGCAACCGGTGGCCGAAAGGTTTACGCGCCTGTGTTTTACTCCGGTTACCTGTTCGAGTCTGCGTAACTGCGGGCGATCTCGCTGCATACCCAGCGCTCGCGTGCCTCTAGTGCTCGCGTGGCAGCGAAGCGTCGGTACGATTTGCCGGCTTATCGCTGATGCCATTTTTCATCACAACCGGCCTGGATCTTGACGTAGTGCGTTGGTTGGCGTACCTTCTTGGTCCATTGAGCTACCCTGGGTGGCACTTTTAAAGTGCCTTCAGAGCGTCTCATAACAGACAGTTCAGTGGTTAGTGGTCGGATTGACTCATTCTCACATTCCTCTTCGGAGCTTAGGGAGAGGTGGATGGCCCTCTTCCCTTTAAACCTAGCCATGAGACAACAGGTTTACAGGATATGGGCTCGCAGCTCGAGTGGCGTAGAGCACGCGCACCACGCATTGTCCCTGACGGTGGGAGAGCACCACCGGTACTCCATGGTTTTCGACCACCCGCCTCAAGCTAATTAGCCCCTAGTCATATTGGTGCAAACTTGCCAACTTCCACATGCTCCTGGCCGTGGTCACATATGAATAACATACTACGGTCTGATGACACAAGTACATTGTTCCGTATCTTCGATTGCTGCGTGTGACGGATCTCATGCAGATCCCAATTTGTCTCTTCATTTGCACTCCCAAGCTGAACTTGCTCCTCGCTGCCTTGTGGGTCAGCTTTTATTGAGCTAAATGCCTCTATGTATCCAACTGCCTTGTGGTTCAGACTGTTGAGTCAAAAGTCACCTAGAACAAAACCCCTTTCTCGAAATGGGCACCTGGAAAATCTTATCTGTCCTCTCAACTTCGCGGACAATATCACCTTTATCTGTTCCTCTCTATTCTCAACTATCCTTTTCCTCGTCTATTGAGCGAGAAACCCGCTGACATCGGAACTGCCCTCATCGATATATATATATATATATATATGTATATTATCAGCAGTTTATAAAATAGACATAGAGCTAGCGAAAACCGTGAAATAGAAGCAATACATACAGCGACCACAAAGAAACAATGTTTAAAAAAAATTTTTGTTTTTGAATCTTGTATTTTTCACACGCCGTTTTAGCTTTTTTGTCTGTTCAATATTTGCGATGTAACTCAAGCAAATCAAGCCAAAATATTTACACATTTTTCACTGGGCATGATTCTGCGCCATTTCCGAAAGAGTTTTCAGCAGGCGGTGTTTTCCATCTTTGATCCCCCAGCCTGGAAGACGCACAGGACGTACGACAGCTAAACTGGAAGTCAACGCTTTGTTGCCACGTGATACACTGATCCCCGCGCGATTTCTTCCAGCTTGGTCCTATGCGAGCTAAGAGAGAGCGTCGTGGCATCCTTTCTCATGCATGCGTAAAAGATGGCCCAACCGTCTCAGTTGGCACAGCGATACCAGTCTATCACGTGGAAGTCCCGTGTTACCCAAGACGCGACATCATCGTTGCGCAAGTGGTTCTTCCACTACACTCGTGCTATTCTCCGCAGACATCCATTGTCAAAGTCCGAAATCTGTCGCAAGTCATTCGCACGAATCGGCCAGGACTCACTCCCATACGGCAGCAAAGCGCGAACACACGCATTGTAGATCCTGCCCTTTACCAATAGTGAAACGTCACGGCCTCGCCACAGATGCCTCAAGTTGGCGAATGCCGAACGGGCTTAGGCAATGCGGAGGGAAATCTCTTTTCCCATGCTACCATCAGCAGAGACACAACTTCCCAGGTAAACAAAGTGGTGCACTTGTTCAAGCTGCGTACCTTGAAAAGTGAGCACTGGAACAGTTAGATGCCAATCCAGGACCAGGACTTTGCATTTCGTAGGGACAAAAGTCGTTCCATATTTTGATGCTTCAGTCGCCAAGTGGTTTGGAACGGTCTGTGTGCTCTGTGCGTCATCACCAAGTAAGGCATAGTCTAAATCGGTCACGCGGTTGCCAGGAAGAAGCTCTACACCAGAACCCTGAAAGCCTTCGAGAGCGTTTACAAGGACATCCTCGATCACAAAATTGAAGAACAACGGGGACATGGGACAACCCTCTCGTACACTGCTAGTGACGGCAAACGGCGAACAGAGTTTACCGTAAGCCCTCACTTTACCTGAAACATTGCAATATACTGCTCGGGGGATGGCGATATACTTTTCGGGTACTCCATTCCTTGGTAAGCAACGTCATAAAGCTGACCGATCGACGGAGTCGAAAGCGGCTCGAATGTCCGGAAAACAACGATTGTCGGCTGGCGGTAAAGATGACGCGTTTGAAGGAGTTGGCGGAGCATCTACATGTGGTCTATACACCATAGACCGGGGCAGAAACCAGCATGTTCTTTACGGAAGTGCAATTCTCGAATCAGGGTTAGTCTGCGAAGTAAAATGGATGTTAACAGCTTGGTGGGACCGGACATTAGACTGATTCTTCGGTGGTTAACGCATGAGGTATGGCTACCTTACTTGAAGATCGGGATGATAATTGACTCGCTCCAAGCGGGTGGAACTGTTTCTTCACATCAGATCTTAGAGAACAAAGCTGTTAACTGGTTGACAAGTGCTTCGCCCCCGAACTTGAAAAGCTCTGGAGGAAGTCCGTCTGGGCCAGCAGACTTGAATCGCTTCAAGTGTCGGAGTTCAAGCCAGACCTCAGCTTCAGTGCGTGGTTGCAATGAGACGTTACAAGGTGCACAACTAGGTATAATCAATAGACTCGCCGGCGGAGGAGGCCAGCTGAATTGAGTGCGGAAGTGTTCAGCCCAGCGGTCCATACGTCTGTGTAAGTTGCTTATCGGCGTTCCGTCAACTTCGTAAATGACTTCACTGACACCTAGTCTTTTGTGACCAGTGGCCCGAATGACCTGGAAGAACTTGCGGAAATTTCCATAGAGGACTGCTGTTTCCATCGCTAAGGCGCGCTGAGACCACTGATATTCTCATTTCACATTGGTTTGATTCATTTGACGTTCGCAGCACTAATTGTTACTTCACTTTTTTAGTATTGATGTACACCTTGTCTCCGAAACGCATGCAAGATGATGGCTTCTTGACAAATCCTCGACTTCTTGGCTCCGAATCTGCCTACGATGATTAAACTCATCACGTATCTGGCGATGAATCAAGGTATTTTCGGTGTCGGTATCGCCCTAAGCAAACATGTGGGAGGCAACCTCGTCTGGATATTAATGAACAACCGCATATGTGCGGTTCAAATTCGAACCTCAGTTGGGGTTACTATGTACCGTCTGGCGCACATCAGTCCAAGACTGTCGGTCAATTTCTAGCACATACTCTAGTATGCGCACGCCTAGTGCTCACTCTGTACTTCAAAGAAGCGCCTACATTCTAATCTTCTCACTTGTGAGCTGAACTTACAGTTGGCAGTTTTACAACATCATGACGAACTGGTCCACCAGTTGTTAGTGGTGAATAGTGTTAGTAAACCGAATTCTGACCGGAAAAGTCTCAATTTTACTATGAGAGGGGCTTTTGAAGCTTGCCGTGC